CATGTTGTAATAATTAATTTAAACAAATAAAAATTTAACCTTTTGAACTTTTATGTAAGAGGCTTAATTTTAATAGTTAAATTTTTTATATTTAATTAAATCAATTCAAACTGTTCAATGCTCAAGCTGCTAAATCCATTCAAACTGTTCTAAAATATGTAAAATAACTGTGAAGGTACGTACACACGTACAGTGAATATATGCATATAACTGCGAATGGTCGATTGAATACAGATTTGTGTAATCCATATTACGTGTACATAGATTCGAACTGCATAAATTAACATAATTCGAAAATAAGTGGGCGTACAAAAAGTTCTATTTCTGGTTTGAAAATTTTAAATTAGAAAATTAAATAGGAATTATCTGGAGATAAAACGAGTACTGTCATATGATACTATCGTAATACATTAATAAAGAACTGCAATATTACTTATTTATTTTCGAATTATTAATATTTAATATGCCCAAAAAAGCTTCACTAAAAAACTTCACTAAAGAAGAGAACTTGAGAATAGTAAGATATATTCCTTTTTCATGAATATTATATTAGAATATTCTTCTATTAATTCTAAAATACTATTTGTTTTTAATATGTAATTATCGATCAGAAATATAAAAATATACTAGCTCTTAGGACCCAACCATTGCCTCTGATTTGAGTTTCTAGTTTTTTTTCCCATTTTGACATATACCTCATTTTGAGATAATTGAGTTTAATCATTTGTTTTGATTTTCGGACTAATCCGGGATTGAGCAATTTCCCGATTTTGATTGGTTAAAGGTAACAGATTACTATCAGGTAATCTCGTGATATGCTTAAGCCTTAGGCAGCCTCGTGTAATTTTTCTTTTACATTATCTCTATTTTTTATTATGCAAATCGGCTTTCATTTATAATTAAAAATGTCAATCATGTCAAAATTTACATAGATCTAATAAAAACTCATTTTTTCAAAAAATTGAAAATGTGCCTTTTTAATATGAGGCACTCCATATTAGCTTTTAGAACTCGGGCGTTACCCTGAGTTCAAGTTTCTGATTTTCTTTTTTGTCTTAGACTATGTTTAAATAAACCTATCTTAGGTTCAAATAAAACCAACTTGGGTTCAATAAACTCATCTTAGGTTCAAATAAACTTGGTTTGGATTAAAATAAACTCATCTTAGGTTCAAATGAACCCAGTGTAACCCGGGAAACTCAGACCTTTTTAGGCCGGTTAATTACGTATGTGCCGCAGAAGCCTATTTTTGGTTAGTGACGATCTTTAATTTATTTGGGTTAAAGACTTTTAGGAGCGATTTGTCTTAAAAGTCTTAAAGTTCTTAAAGGCAGGGGTATAATACTTTTAAGACTTAAAAGTCTTTTCTTTATTTTATGTATTTTAATAGTTTATATTATTATAAGACTTAAAAGTCTTAAACGAAACATAGTGTAAAAGAAAGTATATAAGCAGTACATTTCTGCTGTTTAATAAAGACATCGTTTTATACGATTAAACAAGCATTCCTTAGCTTGTCTTTGGCCTACTTATACAAATTATTCGTAACACTATCTTCACCTCAATCTTTCCTAAACTAAATTCTTGTCTAATTGTTAAAATCTGATAAACTATAACCGCTACGCTGCCCAAAGGTTACCTTTCTGAATTAGCCCAAATTTAGGCTAAATTGCTCCAATTGTCTGCCTAATACAGACAATCCTTATTGTTATCTGAGTTTAGCGCCATTTCCAACCTTAGTTTAGGTTAATTGTATTGAGTACCGTACCTGGAAGTATTGTGGATATATTTCCTTGCGAGTTGGTTCCAGTGGTTCGAGTGTTGGTAAACCAAAGTTTGTCATGTGTTTCTTGCCTAAGGATTGCCGAAGCCTTAGAACCATTCCACTTCACCGAATCTAAATGTCTTTTTTGATAAGGTGGTCTAGTATTTTGTTTGTTTAATTTTGCTGGTTGATTTAACTCCTGGCAAATCGATATTTCTCCATATAACAATTGGTGGTGACTGTAAAATATGGCACCCCATAGCTTTTAGAGTCACCTTTCGTTTTAGTAGTAGTTTTAGTCTTAGTTTTAGTTCTAGCATTAGCCAAATTACCCGTACTTTTAGAAAAGTATCGTTTAGTTTAGATGGAAGACCTTTTAATCCGAAACGAAGATCTCTAGGTTGAGGAAAATGAAGTTAATGGAGAAATTCAGGATGATCTCATTCAAGAAAACCAAGTACTAGTCGATGGTGGAAACCAGCCAGAGGACGTTAAAAAAATCCTGAAACAGATTGTTAGTGTATTTAAAGATGTAATCAAGGGATCTTCACGTAGAAAAACCAATTGGGTTCAGGTCAAACCCTTCAAAAGTGATTAGAATGAAGACCCAATTGAGTGGATTGAGGTCTTTGAGCGAGCCACAGATGCAAATAATTGGAGAAAAGAGCTTAAAGTTAAGATTGCCTCGGGCTATCTATCCAAAATAGCGGCCAATTGATATAAGAGGAAGAAAAATGAGCTGCAGTATTGGGATAATGCCGAAAACTTGGATGCCAGCTTCAAGAAACAATTTGTGGATTACTTCGCCATACTGGAACGATACCATAAGTGGCAGGTAGACTTGGACAACTTAGAGCAAGGAGACAATGAGCGTGTAGATTCCTACACTTATAAATTTAAGTGTTTGTTGTCTAAAGTTAATGCTAATAAAGGCATTCCGGCTCTTTACATCGTGAGGATGTTTCTAAAAGGGCTTCAAGGAAACATTGCAGCGCTTTTGTCTTTGGCGGAACCGAATAATCTTGACAATGCTATTGTAATAGCCAGGAGGATTGAAGCAGGTAGCCATTATAAAGATAAGAAAGGGGCTAAGTTGGTCTTAAGGGTGGAAAAAGAATTGGAAGATTTAACCATTAAACTAAAGCAAATGGCAGCTAGTTACGAAAAACTCACTACCACTCTAGCTGCTACGATGGATGCCCGTCCTACCCGGGATAGACTGCCTTGGCCACCAAATTCTAAAATTATTTGCTTAAATTGTGGTGAGCCAAGTCATATATCTAGAAATTGTCAGTCCGAAAGGAAGTCAAATGACCAAAGAAACTCTATCCAGCCCACACAAATTCTTTCCCGTCCTGGCAATGTTAACTATTGTAGAATAGAGGATAAGAATTATGTTAAAAGTGAGGTTTTGGCTAATAACCAAGCCCGGTATCAACCTTATGCCACTCAAAAAGAGCTAAGGCCGGTAAAGAAGTCTGAGTCAAAGAGGGAGAATAGGTTGAGGCGATGTGAACCAGAAGAGCAGCCCCAAGAACCATTGCCAATGAATGAAGAGCTGTATATCCCAGAGGAGCCAACTGTGACTCGCTCTAAATATAGAAGGGTACCATCTAGGGTAGATAACCTTGAAACATATAATGTTATTCAAGACTTGTTAAACACTAAGTCAAGTGTCACTATAGGGCAAATGTTAAAATACCCTAACCAACGCCATAATCTTGCCCAAGCCCTTTATCATCCTAGGTTACCTGTGGAGACTAATTATGCCCAACCCAAAGAAAATTTGAGAACCACAGCCGTCTGGTGTTATGTAAACATTAGAGGAAATCCAGTAGTAGCAATCCTGGATACCGGTGCAGCTGTTAGTTTGGTTACCAAACCTTTGGCAGATAAATTGGGACTCAAGATTGGTACCTTCTAATACTGTGGTAATCACAGCCACAGGGGCCCGTGAACGAACCTTGGAGAAGATTGAAAACTTAAAAATGGTTGTAGATAGCCTTTTGGTTCTAATAACCCTCCAAGTAATTGATTCCCGGGATAAAATGTTGTTGCTAGGTACCAATTAGTTCCAGAAATCAAAGGCCCATATGCACTTTGATGAAGAAAAGTCTTATCAGGGCCAAACAACCTGCTTGGCTATATCACATGTTGGGGAATATTAGCTTTCGAAGCCTGATGATGAAAGTGACGATGAGGACCTCTTTGATGAATTAGAATTTGAGGATGAACTGCTAGAAGAAGCTGAGGACTATTATACCAGTGAGGCCTCGTCAGAAGAAGAGTTACATATAAACCCTTGGGATGGGGCACAAAGTTGTGCGGGCATTATGATGAAGAAAATGAAGAAAAAAAAGAATTGGGTGAAATATGAAAAAAGGCACTAGATGAATTAGTAGCCCAGGAAGAAATAGGTAACAAGGGCCGGGAACAAGCTGAATAGTTATTTGCTAAGTATGAAGATATATTTGCTAGAGGATTAGAAGATTTAGGGCAGACTAATATTGTTCAGCATTATATCAACACAGGTTCCGCATCTCTTATCAAACAGGTGGCCTATTGATTAGTCTAGTGAGCAGGAGTTTTTACAAGAAGAGGTTTGAAAAATGTTGAATACAAAATTAATAAGGGAGTCCTATAGCCTATAGACATCTCCAGTGGTGTTAGTCCCCAAGAAGAATGGAAAATTACGGGTCTGTATTGATTATCGGAAATTAATACAGTAACAAAGAAGGATGCCTATCCTATTTCAAGAATAGATGATATGCTGGAAACATTCAGGAATGCCTCTTGGTTCTCCAGTTTAGATTTGGCCAGTGGGTACTGGCAAGTCTCCATAGCCGAACAAGACAGGAAAAAGATGACCTTTGTCACCAAGTTCGAGGTTTATGAGTTTAATGTTATGCCTTTCGGTCTCTGTAATGTGCTAAAGGAGTATATTGGGCAATTTGTTGCTGTCTACCTAGATGACATTACTGTCTACTCTAGAACTTTCTGGGAACACATGGATCATTTGAAAAGGGTCTTTATCAAGCTTCAGGAGGCACAGTTAAAATTAAATAGTGACAAATGTATCTTCTTAAAAGGTCGTTAAAGTTTCTAGGCCATGAAATTACTAGGAATGGAATTAGGCCGGATAATGAAAAAGTTATCAAAGTCCAAGAATACCTGGCACCGAAGAGTTTACACCAATTGAGAGGATTTTTGGGTCTATCATCCTACTATAGGCGGTTTATTAAGGGTTTTGCCTCTCTTGCTTAACTCTTGCATCACCTACTTCGGAAAGACATGCCAAATGATTGGGCGAGCCTCAACATAAGGCATTTGAAACATTGAAGCGCCATTTGACTACTGCCCCAATTTTACAATACCCAAATTTTGAGAAGACATTCTACTTACACACGGATGCTTCAGGGATAGGTCTTGGGGCCATGTTGTCCCAAAAAGATGAAAAAAATAGGAAGCATGTGATTGCATATACTAGCCGAAGTTTAAGTTGTGCCGAAAAAAACTACTCTACCACTGAGTTGGAGTGCCTGGTGATAATTCGGGGAATTGAGTATTTCCACTATTATTTAGGCATTAAGCCTTTTGTGTATCACGGACCATGCCACTCTTAAATGGTTGGAGACATCGAAATTGAAAGGAAGAAGAGCAAGGTGGATCCTCCGGCTCCAATCTTACATTTTTAAAATCGTACATAGGAGTGGTCGGGTGCACTCTAGTGTAAATGCACTATCCAATCTCCCCGAAATAAATGATAATGAGAAAGAAAACCGGCCAGAAGAAGCTAGGGAGGTTTTTAAAGTTGATGTTATATGTATAGAAGATAGTGAAGATGAATGGTACTCAGAAAATGAAGATTATAAAGAGGACTATAAGGATGAAGGGGATTACGAATCTGAGGTAGAAGAGATGGATTATGAAAGGACTGATAGTATAGAGGAACAATAAAATACGTGGGAGGTGGATGAAAGTGAAGTAGTAGACATGAATCGGCAGGAACAAGGGTATGAACAATTATTACATGATTTCGAAGTAGAATCAGGCCGTAAATTGTTATGGGAAGGCCATAGTGATATTGCCCAACAGTGGTGAGAATATGAGAATAAAAAAGGAGCTAAAATATTACTTTCCCAGAATGAAGTATACTTAGTAGTAGGGATGTTAATGGTTGATCCAGTCCAATTTGATTTTATAAATCAGATTAAAACTAAACCAGATAAAAAAAAAACT